AGAGTGAAGTCACGGAGGGCACACAACATATAGTAAGCACAGCAAACATGCCGTGTGGAACAATAGCCCTACCCCAAGTTCGTGTGTGAATTATGACCCAGTGTAGTTGAAAGTGGTCAGCCACAGTAGATCACCTTATACATTTATCCCTCGCTCCAATAGTCATCTAAATAAGCTTGATGTTGGCCATGAGGGCCGCAGATGAACAAGCAATGATCTCCGCACTTTCGCCGAAACAGGACATTGTGTAGCACGCCTTGTTTTTGTTTTGAGCCGGGGAACTCTGAGACCGCCAGCGTCTTTTGGCGTAGTTTGTCTGTTGTTTTTGTTTTTTTTCCCAAGCAAAATGATTTCAGCTTTTGTATTTCTCTATGTATATGTCAGTGTTCTCTCCTGGCCTTTTCCTTGCAGCTTTTTTTTCCTGGTCTGAAATAAACAAAATAATTATGTTACAGATAATGTGCTGGTATAAAGCATATTAATGACAACCTTCTACTTATTTTTCCTGTTGAAAAACATAACAACTTTAAACATAAAATGGTACGTAACATGTGTTGATGGGTGGTAGTGCCGAGAGATTAGGGAGTCAGAGGCGGTGCAATGATGGTGTAAAAGGGTACTTTATTAAGAGGTCCGCAAAGGACATGTTGTCGGTTGCAGTCCGGAAGACAGAGAGAGTGAAGTCAGGAGGGCACAAACATAAGTAAAACCAAACATGGTGTCGTGTGGGAACAATAGCCCTACCCCACAGTTACGTGTGTGGAATTATGACCCGTGTATTACAAGGTGCGTCACCACAATGGTCATTTAAATATACTCATGTGACAATGTGCTTTATACATAAATCATTGTAATAAATTAGAGGACACTCACCGTGTGTTCAAAATGTCACCAAAGAGGAACATGGCATCATGTGATGCTGGTGACATGGTATTGGGACAAAACATTCCTTTGAGTTAAGGGGGGAGTTCTGATTATACATCTTGACAGAACTTTTGGCGGACGATTCCATATATTAAGATATTTTAATTATGTAAAGGAGGAAATCATAAACAAATATGAATTATTCTTTAGTATCTTAGACTTTTTAAATAACTGAATAATAGTCTTATTTACTTTAATGGTTTTATTCATTTATTTTGAAACCAAGACACCCTCAACTGAAAAACGGACATAGCAAAAACCTGTCAATTTAAAGAACATCATGACACATTTCAAGCTAAATTAAGCATAGGATGCACAGAAGTTTGTGTGATATTATACATGCTTTCCAATAATAGGCAAATATGGATATTTGTTGGAAGAAAATTGAAATTAAATAATTATTCAATTGACATTCCAATGGACATGGAATATACCCTAAATTGTAGAATGATCAGCTACGATAGACGTGTAGTGTAAACTCGAGTTTAAGACATTAATGATAGGCTCCTAACAAACGTGGCTTATTTATGTGGACTTACAGATGTAGAAACCAAACCGCTATTATTCTGAGAATGTGGTGATTAACCTGCTGGACGTACGAAGGACTTGTGAAAAGGAGTTTGCTTTAGTTTAGAGGCTCACAGCCGAAATACAGAATTAAATCATTAGTGATTATGGTTTTTTATATTAAGTGATATTGCTCTATAATGGTGAGTGTTCTTTCGTTCGGACCTTGATGTAATATTTGACATGTTGAATCATGTCGTACACCCTCAGAGCAAGGGGAGATCACTGTTCTGAGCCTTTCTAGTAGCCTTGTTGGTACGTCGAAAGAGGAATGTTCTTTAGTTGGAAGTGGTGGCTCCTTAAAAGAGCCTTTGGGGTGTTGGTAGAAGCGGGGTTCAGAGTCTCACTTTCACTTCCTCTGGCGGCCTTCTCGGTCTTCTTGGGCAGCAGCACAGCTGGATGTTGGGCAAGCACGCCTCCCTGAGCGATGGTGAGTTGTGCAGCAGGCTTGTTCAGACCGTTTACTCTCGTCGTTGCCGGACGGCGAGCTGCAGATGGCGGGGGATGAATACGGGTCTTCTTGTTGTCCCCGGCGGCGTTTCCAGCCAGCTCCAGGATCCTCAGCGGTCAGGAGCCTCCAGCACAGCGGCCAGGTAACACCGGGGCTCCGGCACGCGACACGAGGGCGTAGTTACCCCTTCCTCAGATCGCTGTGGACAACGCCGACGGGACGTGGAGCCAAGGCACGGGATGAACGAGTCTTGGATTCTTCGCCCTGGCTTTTTCCTCCGGTCTTGCCTCTTCCTGACATGCGCGTTTAGTTACTTGATCCGAGCTACGAAGAGAATGCAGCAATGGCATCAAGAAGTCGTTTATATAATGTCCTTTGCCGCTCTCTGATTGGAGCTACAAGTGAGCGTATCTTCGATCGACCAATCAGAAAAGAGTCAAGTTCCTGGTTTTACTACACCATTTCCGTTGAATACTGCTACTTCAAAATAACGCGAAAGACTCAATCAGAATCCCTTTAAACCTTACATTGTTACAGCAAAATCACCAGACTCAGGGACAGTTTCATTCCACAGGCCATAAGACTATTAAACACCAGAACTTTTTTAAGAACATCCATAAACATTCACCTGTTTGCATCTTGCAAATTATTTATCTAATATATCATATTCCATTTACTTGTAGCCTATATGGACTCCTCTTTCATTATTTCAATGTTATTTGAATTTACCTGCACATCTAAAAAAAAATATTGCATTATTTAATCAGTTGTATGTATATATTCATGTTGCTTTCTTTGAGGAGCCTGGGAATTCAGACCAAATAAAGCTTTAACAAACACTGTAAACATACACAATGGAGCACATCTACAGAAACTAGACACAACTAGAAAACCTCTCCCACACGGACAACACACTGCACAGGATACACAGGTCACACTCTCACAGGAGAAGGACGTTTGTGTTCGATCAAACTACTAAAAACATTCAATTATGTCTGAACGAGGCTATGGAGGAATTTGTCTTGTACGACCCAATCTGTGCTAATCTAGAATGAGTGGAAGAGAGACGGATAGAGATATATAAATAGATTGGAATGGACTTCAAAATAAAAATGATTTGACATTACATTTGTTAGACGCTTTTATCAAAAGCGACTTACATACTCAATACTGTGGGCAATCCCCACAGGAGCGATTTGGGGTGCAGTTTCTCAGGGAAACAACGACATGTTGACTGCAGTGGGACTCGAACTTGCTACCCCCTGATTCGAAGTTCAGCGCACCATCCCCTGAGCCACAGCTTCCCATCTTGAAAATAATTAAGGATTTTAAATATGGTAGCTATATTACATAGACCTATCATTTAATGGAAGTACTATCACTTCTCAATGAGTCAATGATAACTGAGTAAACTAATTGATATCTGTAGATCAGTGAATCCTTTTGGGCTGGGGTTCACGGAATATGACTCAAAATGTAAAACACGTATTGACAGAATGTATGTTTCATCCCTTCTCAATAAGTCATTATTCTACGGTCTTCTTATAGTTAAATCATCTCTGTCCTCTGGGGACCTAGAGGCTTCTGGAAGCTTAACACGCAGCGTTTAAAAGATACACATTTATTAACCAAGCTAAATCTGAAGACACAAAAAACAATAGCTTTTATAAATAGACTGGAATGGACTTCCAAATAAAATTATTTTAAATATTGTGGATATATTACATAAAGACCTATCATTTAATGACTGTAACCAAGTTTTAAAAATGTAAAGTCAGCAGCTGTCAGAGATCCTGAGCGATGTGATGAGGCTCATCTCAGTTTACAGACCGGCAGTCAGAGCTGTTACGTGAAAACAAAAAAATGCCCTATGATTAACTGTGAGGAGGATGAGACCCTGCAGCACCTCCTCATCGATGCTACAGAGCGCAGGAGGTCTGGTCGGTCCTGCCAGTTCTCGGTCTAGATTTCAACATTAACCACATTTAAATTATGTATTGTAGAGTAAATGAAAAGATGGATATAAAAAAATGAGAGCTTTTCCAGCTTGTCATCTGCATCACATGTATGCAGATCTGGAAGACCAGATGCACCATGGTGCCAAACCAAACAATAATTAACAGTAGTACCATAATAAAACATATCCAAACAAATCTATGGTGAAGAAAAAGCCTCGAAAAGTCACAGACTCTACCATGGAGGCTAATCAGACAATGCACTCTCTGGACTCTAAAATACTATGTTCTTTTGGATTTATGTTATTCATTTATGTATTATGTGTATTTTCAATGTAGTCTTTTTTCATGTCAATGATGTATTGTTCAAATAATTTTAAATAAAGTATTACAAAAAAAGCAAAGGAGGTGCTTTCAAGTGAAGACATTGGGATTTAAAGAAGAGTACATGTGTGGATAATATCTTGTCTAATAGAGGAAAATAATTAATCTATAGGTAAAAAAAAAAGGGTTACCACCTCTCCCTGGGCGCTGTACAATTAAATCAATTTAAACAAGAAATACAAATACTTGGTTTGACTATTATGTAATGAAAACTGTGCTGACCTAAATTGGGAGAATACACTGAGCAGAGGTGCTACTTGAGGTGGAGATACAGCCCACTGGAATCATTTAAATAAAGAAAAAAACATAAAATACTTACATAATAAATATGTTGTTGATTTTACAACATTTGAATATAAATGTAAATAGCAATTTTACTATATATATATATATATATATCATTCGTTAAATTATAGAAGGACCCTTGGCTGTTTTACATCACAGCTAGCCTAAATAAGATCCCTTGATTCAATCAGACAAAGACAAAAGTTTTTAACATGCAGATTCCAGTGGCTACCAAACTACAGGGATAACATAAAACGGGGGTTGTGCAGAATAATGTTTAAATACTTGTGTTCCCTTTTTACAATACAGTACTGGAGATAGGCTACATCTGATCAAAGTACATAGTAGGCTCAGTCATGTGCAGACGATAACCAATCCCGTGCGAGCAACAGCACAGCTATATTTGCATCGAGGGGATATAAATAGGCCGCGCTGTGTGTGAGAGGCACCGAGTCTGACCAACCTCACTCTCACATCATGCCTGCCGATGCACCCCCCGTGAAAGCGGCCAAGAAGGGCTCAAAGAAAGCCGTCGCTAAGACCGTCAGCAAGACTGGAAAGAAGAGGAGAAAGTCCAGGAAGGAGAGCTACGCCATCTACGTCTACAAGGTGATGAAGCAGGTCCACCCCGACACCGGCATCTCCTCCAAGGCCATGGGCATCATGAACTGCTTCGTGAGCGACATCTTTGAGCGCATCGCCGGTGAGGCCTCTCGTCTGGCTCACTACAACAAGCGCCGCACCATCACCTCCAGGGAGATCCAGACCGCTGTCCGCCTGCTGCTGCCCGGAGAGCTGGCTAAACACGCCGTGTCTGAGGGCACCAAGGCCGTGACCAAGTACACCAGCTCCAAGTAAACTCTGCTGCTGACATACCAACAACACAAAGGCTCTTTTAAGAGCCACCTACTACATCTATGGACGTATTCCTCTGTTTTGAATAAGTGTCATGCACGATCCATGAATCGCATACATGGTATGTAAATCACTTGACATGAAATACATTTGATACATAAACGGTTCGAAGAGGCATTGTTTACACACCACTTTCCACAATGGCTCAGGCAAAACAACTTGTGCATAATTTAAAGACCTCTTTAATTTTCATCTGAATACAACATATCTGTCCAACAGCACCAACAGCACCGACTGGCTACAACAGGACACAACACGTGGTTATTTTACTATTTAATATCAGCATCAGGAAAGCCCTACACTTTCATCATTGACCCTGGAAAGATTATTAATTGCTTTTTTTATTCTGGTCAAACCCAATAATATCACTTTTTTTTTGCGTGTCACGCCAGACAGCTCTAGGCAACCTTTCATACACCACTTCAATTAGAAGATATTACTTTTTTATTTTTTAAAACTGTCTCTTAAATTGTTTTGTCAATACATAATGGACATACACAAACCACTACATAAAAACATGTACACACAACTCATAAATGCATACTTAAACACAACATAACAGTATTTCAGTTTAATATCTAGGTCTATGGCTCCCAAGCCTCCATATTCCCTTCTTTTAAATAATAAATTACGTTGAGTATAATTATCAGAGCCAAAGAATAGTTAAAAATACATTGTCAAAAATGTTTCCATAAGGCAATACCATTTTCTAATAAATAGTTTTTTCTACTAAAGTATCTTTTAAATGTGTAAATGAAAAGCTTTAATTGACCAGACTTATAACATTTTGTGAGAGCTGAAATATGTTATAAGTTGAAGAAGTCCATGGTTATTTGTCTGTTACTTTATATTTTATATTGACCATTAACTATTTGGTAAATTTTCTTGATTTTTGTATTTAGTCATTTTGATGATGGCCACAAAACCAAACCTAAATACAGTGTATAGATTCAGGTGTTTCTATTGGACTAATTCTTACTTTTATGTAAAATTGTTGACATGTGTTATGTATACAAATGTATGTCTTGACTCATCAGAAACAGAATGAATGTCTCCTATAAAGAGTATGTTTTGAATACTCTGATCAACTTTAAATGTAATGTTAATCTCAGAAAGGGTCTTATTTCAATTATAAATGTTATTAAGCATGTGAGGGTTTTATTACATATTAACAAACGTTTAATCATCAAACGCTTAGTATAAAGCCTGACTGAATTATATAAACAATATTAGAAGGAAGACTAAATGTTTTTGAAAGATAATGTGGAGGCTGCAGCGTGGGCCCCGCCTAG